TATATATATATAGATGCTAGTTTTGAGCTTTGCATCCTTCGTTTCACACTTACTTTGCTATAATTATTTAATATAATGCGCTGATGGTAGTACATAATATTTTTTCATACTATCAGATAACTTTAGCTAAATAATAATTCTCTATATCTACTCTAATCTATTACTTCTTCAAAATTGCAGTAAACTACATGCTATAACTGATTAAAATTAACACACCGACAGTGTAATTTTTTTTTATATATATAGTCAGTGAGCACAAAATTAAAAGTGTATACTCCCTCCGTACTTTTTTATGTGCCATTGTTTCCTTATTGCTCCATCTTAAAAAGAATAATATCGTTTTATATTTGTAAACGATTTAACTCTATGCTTTTCGTTTCATCCTTCAGGTCATGCTTTTATAGTCATGAAAATCTCATGGTATGTTTAAAAAAAATTATTTTGACCCAAAAAAAAAAAAAAACTCTTAACATATTTAAGACCACAAGTTTTGAATATACTTCTTACTTTCTTAAATTTCGTGTTAAAATAGTTAAATAAAACGCAAAGAGTATAAAGTATTTCTCCTTGTTATTCGTCTACAATGCATGAGGCTTTGAGTAGTTAACCATCAACGAGAAAAAGACAGAAACTTCCTAGTATCAACGAAATCAATTAATTACAAGTACTTTGTGTATATAAAGCTCTCGTTCAAAGCGAAGAACACATAATATTTACGGCTCTTAAACTTGCTTCTTATTAGCTTTAGCGTGGCAAAATCAAAGACTCTTCCCAGTCAAACCTAAACCACGAATTCCATATATCATTCGAAAGTAAACATTTTATTTACTTACACACACACACTCATTTATAACACCTTCTCCTGCCTCTTTCTCTGGACATAAAATTTCCCACTTCACACAATCGCCTTCCTTATATATGGACATGATTTTCTCTTCATCTGTGGCTTTGTTGAATGCTCGTAATGGAATTACTAGCCAAGTTGGATTGTTTTGGCAGCAAACTAGAGCTCCTTTGATTGTGCCATTGTTAAGAATAGTGTTGTTTGTGTGTTTGGCCTTATCGTTTATGTTATTTGTGGAGAGGCTTTATATGGGCATTGTTATAGCTTTTATAAAGTTGGTAAGGAGAAAACCAGAGAAAAAGTACAAATGGGAGCCAATGAAAAAGGATGATTTGGAGTTGGGAAATTTTTCTTATCCTGTGGTTTTAGTGCAAATACCAATGTACAATGAAAAAGAGGTGCTCAACTTTACCATATTTTCGTAGCTGTAAAAAAAAAATTAATAATAATAATAAGCCCGCTGCACTAAGCTCCTGCTATGGGCGAGGTCGGGGGAATGGCCGGACCACATAGGTCTATTATACGCGGCCTTAACGTGCATTTCTGCGAGAGACTGTTTCCGCGGCTCGAATCTGTGACCTCATGGTCATATCTGTGACCTCATGGTCGAATCTGTGACCTCATGCTTTCAATAAATGACTTAAAATTGTTGAATTCTTATACTTATGTTCTTTAAATTGTTATTCTGCAGGTTTATCAGTTATCAATTGGAGCTGCCTGTAGCCTTTCATGGCCAGCAAATAGAATCTTTATCCAAGTCCTTGATGATTCTACTGACCCTGCAATTAAGGTTCAATATTCCCTTTTAAAACTAACAACAACAAAAAAATGAAAATTGTTATCATTTCTACTATAGTTAAAATTGAAGCTTGTAGAAGTGGAAAGTCCAGAATTTTAGTAATTTCCAAAAAGAGACAGACCACAAAAGTTTATTGTACGCAGTCTAACCCTTCATTTCTAAATGAGGTTGTTTTCACGGCTCGAACCCGTGATCTCCTGGTCACATGACACTAACTCTACCAGTTACACCAAGGCTCCCCTTCATTAAGTGTAATTAGTAACCTAGAAAATAAAGCAGTGAGCTACTGCAACAAGTTAAAATACACTAATAGTGTAAAAATCCTTACACTGTCAGCATATATGTTTAAATCCTGAGTTAATTGCTGAACTTACTGTAATAAAAGAACAGGCTTTGGTGGAGCAAGAGTGCAGGAGATGGGCAAGCAAAGGTATTAACATAAAGTATGAGATAAGAGACAATAGGAAAGGGTATAAAGCTGGAGCTCTCAGAGAAGGAATGAAGCACAGTTATGTGAACCTGTGTAGTCATGTGGCCATCTTTGATGCTGATTTTCAGCCCGAGCCTGATTTCTTGGAGCGCACCATCCCTTTTCTTGTACATAACCCTGATATTGGACTCGTTCAAGCTCGTTGGGAATTTGGTAAATGTCTTTAATTTCCTCTTTCTTTATAAAAATGTGAGTCAAGTAAACGTAAGAATGAGGGGAGCTCGCGCAACAATAAGGTTGTTTTGGTGTGGCCAAAAGGTTACGAGTTCAAATCGTAAAAACAACCTCTTGTGAAATTGTAAGGTAAAGTTGCGTACAATAGTAGGCAACAGTAAGATTGTAGATTGTCGTTGTGTGATCAGGAAGTCACATGTTCAAGTTGTGAAAATAACCTCTTGCAAGTTGCAAAATTGCAAGGTAAGGTATAGTAGACTCAATATGGTCCAGTCCCACTCTGGACGTAGCGAGAACTTAGTACATTGGTTGTGAAAATAACCTCTTGTTCTATTACTACTTGACTTTGAAAACTTGTTAAATAGAGTAAAATCAACTGGTTGGTCGCACATAATTAGCTCGAGGGAAATTTGTGACTTGGGTATTACCTTGAAGATAAATTGACAGATCAGTGAAGTTTCATGTGAAAAATGTTTTTAAAAAACTTGACATGAGAATAATGTTGATATTGCAGTCAATGCTGATGAGTGTTTGATGACAAGAATGCAAGAAATGTCACTTGGTTACCATTTCACAGTGGAGCAAGAAGTTGGATCTGCAATCCATGCATTTTTTGGCTTCAACGGTAGGCTACCAACCCACCCCACCACACCACACCCAAACCAAATATTGCATTGGTAAAATAAAACAGCCAAGAATTTGACATTATTATTGTTGTTGTTCGAGTTATCCCAAGAGCAAGGTGGGGAGTTCTTGGAGGGAGGGAGCCGAGGGTCTATCGGAAACAGCCTCTCTACCCCAGGGTAGGGGTAAGATATACGTACACATTACCCTCCCCAAACTTCACTAGTGAGATTATACTAGGTTGTTATTGTTGTTCCCGTTATGGTCGTCTTCGTGATTGGATGATTTTGAGCATAACAATAGAATGAGATACAAATAGCTTAATATTGAGGAGATTATAATTTAGAGGAAATACTTTCAACTCCAATACAATTTCAAGTTCCCTAAATAACTAGGGAAGTAAATAGAAGTAACATTACTATATGTGCAGAACATTTAAGCACCTCAATTATGCTACTTTACAAATAATCATTTGCTTGAGAATTTGGAATTAGAAAATGGATAATTTGAATGCAGGCACTGCTGGAGTATGGAGAATGGCAGCTCTTAATGAAGCAGGAGGATGGAAAGACAGAACAACTGTTGAAGACATGGATTTAGCTGTCCGAGCCGGTCTCAATGGCTGGAAATTTGTCTATGTTGGTGACCTTAAGGTACAATAACACATATCCAACTTAAGGATTTAACTTATATACACTGACTGACTGCACGTGTATATTTTAACTTGCTATAGAAAGTGATAGTATTAGGAAGAGAAATCATTGGAATTTAAACTTGAAGTTGAAGGATAGACTGAAAAGGTCAAAGGGGTGTTCTTTTTATCTCATCAATAGGAAGAAATTCTCAAGATAGTGGAAATGAAATGATGGTTCTAAATCTTACATTGTTATTACTATTCATTTAAGATTTAAAAAAAATTCTTCTTCTTTTACCCTATTAGGTGAAAAATGAATTGCCAAGTACTTTTAAGGCGTATCGCTATCAGCAACACAGATGGTCTTGTGGACCTGCTAATCTTTTCAGAAAAATGGCCAAGGAAATTGCAACTAATAAGGTGCCCTTGTTGTTTGATATTCACTCCTAAAACATGACAATGAAAATATTCAACAACTAAAATCAAGCTGTTTGATCATTGCAGAAAGTCTCTGTATGGAAGAAATTTTATCTGATTTACAGCTTCTTCTTTGTCCGAAAGATCATAGCACACATTGTGACGTTCGCCTTGTATTGTGTTGTTATGCCTGCAACCGTTTTCGTCCCTGAAGTGGAAGTGCCTAAATGGGGATCTATTTATATTCCTTCAGCTATTACTCTTCTCAATGTACTTGGCTCTACAAGGTAGAGAAAAGGAAAACTTTAACCTTGTATTGGCATGTGTTTAGTTCTCTTTCTTATTTATGTATGTTTTTTTGCAGATCAATGTACTTGGTCGTTTATTGGATCCTATTTGAGAATGTAATGTCCCTCCATCGGACAAAAGCAACGTTCGTCGGCCTGTTTGAGTCAGGAAGAGTCAATGAATGGATTGTGACAGAGAAATTGGGAGATGCTCTCAAGACAAAAATGGGCTCAAAAGCATCCAGAAAACTTCGTTTTCGAGTTGGAGAAAGGTAAAACTTTCAAATATTTAGAAGTGAAAAAAAATAAAGACGAAGAAAAGAGAGGTATGGGAATTAATTTGCTATCTTGTTTAACATGGCAGGGTACATGTTCTTGAGCTTTTTGTCGGATTGCACCTCTTGTTTTGTGGGTGGTACGACTTTTCTTTTGGGAAGAGTAGGTTCTACGTATACCTCTTCCTCCAAGCTGCAGCATTTTTCGTTGTTGGATTTGGCTATGTTGGTGTGTTTGTTCCCAATTCTTAGTCTGGATTTGAACTTCTTTTTGGTAAAAATTTAAGTTATATTGTAAAATTATGATAAGTAGCATCAAATTCTTTTACATCGATGCGTATAAGCAGCTATGCGCCTGCTTTGATTTAATGTTCTTTTTGTTCTTTTGTCCTTTCTCCTGTATAGTCAATAAGCCATAAGTGAAATACCAAAAGGATTGCTGGGTTTCTAAGTTCTAACCCAAAATAATATATGGTAATCATTTTAGTTCCCTTGTGAAGGGGAGCCTTGGCATAATAAAGTTGTTGTCATATCACCAAAAGGTTACGAGTTCGAGTTGTGGAAACAGCCTCTTGCAGAATTGCAAGGTAAGACTGCATACAATAGACCCCAGTGGTCCGGCCCTTCTTCGAACCCTATGCATAGCGGAAGTTT